AGCGCTTTACAATTATTATAAACATGTAAACTAAGTAAAATAAAAAAATGAGACTCTAGGATAGTAACTACTATACTAAAGAAATAATTAAAATGGCTATAAAACGAGGACACTTTGGCACGTTTTGGCCTATAAAACAGGAAAAGAAAATGAGGCAGGGCAAGGAGGGTGCATCACAGGTCATAGGCGGACCTAAACAGGTGGGTTTTAAGGGACTTTTTAAAAGTGGACGAGGTTTCACAATGACGGATATGGAAGGGGAGCTGGTTCTAGAACGTGGGCCCATGGAAGTAGAAGGAGCGTTCACCGATGGTCTTAGTTTTGGTTCTTGGGATTGAAAGGGTTCTATTGTCAATGGAAGAGCGTAGTTGTCTTGTGGGGATGTAAGGAAGCATTTGTCCTTTATTTTTTTCCTTAATTAAGGTTCTTGTTGGTTATTTTTGTTATACGATAGTTTTTGCTCTCTTTAGTTTGTTACCCCAGGCAAAAAGAGACCGTGTTCTCATTACCTATTTGGTGTCACCATCTCATTATAGTTTTAAATTAGATGTATCAATTAGCATTTAGTTAAAGCTGATGGTCTTGTTAATTGTGTATAATTAAATATTTACCTAAAACTTCGGACGGAATTTGGAGAAAGATGAATAGGCAGCACAGTGCTGGTTTATGGCACTTCAGCATGGCAATCCCTCAACTGTCAGTCCTACACCATTCTAGTGTATGGCATTTAAGCACGGGAATCTCTCAACTGTAAGTCAAACATTTTTTTACGATGCATCGTATACCTGAAGTCGCGCCGACTGCAGGTTAATATAGTTTCTGTAAAGATACAAAAAGCCCGCGAGTTTGGTCAATATATTAACAATACAACGAGCTAAGACATAACTGCAAGACACACTGAACAATTAGAGCATGGCTTCGGGATTTTTCTTTTGGATGTACTTGGGTCGATGACTGTATGAAAGTAAGCCATTCATACATTCATACACGTGATCTGTGGTCTTTGAATTTCGTTCATCTTGTTTTTTTTTAAATCGTTTTTACAAATATTATTTAGTTTAACTTTAAGTCTCTTAAAGTCTTCGAAGCCTTTTTTTTTTTTTTTTTCCAGATTTTATTTTGTTTAACAGAGATTTTCCTAGATCCAAATAATTTAATTCGATATCAAATCAAAATCGTTTTTACAAATATTATTTAGTTTAACTTTAAGTCTCTTAAAGTCTTCGAAGCCTTTTTTTTTTTTTTTCCAGATTTTATTTTGTTTAACAGAGACTTTCCTCGATCCAAATAATTTAATTCGATATCAAATCTGGTCTGATTTAAATCATTGAATATTTCTAATTAATTTGGGCCAGTAAGCTATAATAACCGTTACCTAACTATTGATTACGTCACGCTATCCATGTGAACAATGCCTTCATATGTAAAAGGGATTTTGGGATTAGTCCAAGTCGAATATTTCTCAGTAAAATTTTATGGAAAGGTGGTAAACTATTTTTTTTTTAGATACAGATTATTTTTTCCTGATGTAAATTTATGGTCGTGTTTTTAAGCCTATTTCCTGTTTGCGCTATTTTGTGCGCTCTTGGGAGTTTTCCCATTCAAACTAATAAATGCATTACTCCTCGCTTCATAATCTTAATTTCGCATGTAAGTAGAGAGTAAGTCACGTGATTCTTGTACTTTTTTTTTACCTCCTCCCTCCCCCTTTTTACAATCTGTCGCAAATCTGAGGGACCCCCCCCCCACACCCACACCACCCTCCCACCTTCCTCCCACTTTCAAACTAAAAATAAAAAAGTTACCTTCTTAACTTCAAATGACCTTAAATTTAAATCCCCCCCCCCCCAATACCCCATGTCCTGACACAATATCGCCCCCCCCCCACACACACACCACCCTCCCACCTTCGTCACACTTTCAAACTAAAAATAAAAAGCAAAAGCAAATTTTATATGTATAAATCTTTTGTTATATTTTGATTAAGAGCTTCTTTATGCCCAACATCTGCACCATACATGCATGCAAGTGTCGTCAATGTTTTATGGACAAAAATATTTATCCATACATACAAGTGTCGTCAATGTTTTATTGACAAAAATATTTATCCATACATGCAAGTGTCGTCAATGTTTTATGGACAAAAATATTTATCCATACATGCAAATGTCGTCAATGTTTTATTGACAAAAATATTTATCCATACATGCAAATGTCGTCAATGTTTTATTGACAAAAATATTTATCCATACATGCAAGTGTCGTCAATGTTTTATGGACAAAAATATTTATCCATACATGCAAGTGTCGTCAATGTTTTATTGACAAAAATATTTATCCATACATGAAAGTGTCGTCAATGTTTTATTGACAAACATTTTTATCCACACATGCAAGTGTCGTCAATGTTTTATTGACAAACATATTTATCCATACATGCAAGTGTCGTCAATGTTTTATTGACAAAAATATTTATCCATACATGCAAGTGTCGTCAATGTTTTATTGACAAAAATATGTATCCATACATGCAAGTGTCGTCAATGTTTTATTGACAAAAATATTTATCCATACATGAAAGTGTCGTCAATGTTTTATTGACAAAAATATGTATCCATACATGCAAGTGGCATCAATGTTTTATTGACAAACATATTTATCCATACATGAAAGTGTCGTCAATGTTTTATTGACAAAAATATTTATCCATACATGCAAGTGTCGTCAATGTTTTATTGACAAACATATTTATCCATACATGCAAGTGTCGTCAATGTTTTTTTGACAAACATATTTATCCATACATGCAAATGTCGTCAATGTTTTATTGACAAAAATATTTATTCAAACATGCAAGTGTCGTCAATGTTTTATTGACAAAAATATTTATCCATACATGCAAGTGTCGTCAATGTTTTATTGACAAAAATATTTATCCATACATGCAAGTGTCGTCAATGTTTTATTGACAAAAATATTTATCCAAAAATGCAAGTGTCGTCATGTTTTATTTACAAAAATATTTATCCATACATGCAAGTGTCGTCAATGTTTTAAGAAAAACATATGTATCTATAAATGCAAGTGTCGTCAATGTTTTAAGAAAAACATATGTATCTATAAATGGAAGATTCGACAATGTTTTAAGGACAAACATATTTATCCGTAAATGCAACTGTCGACAATGTTTTAATTTTAATCCCCTTTACTTAGTCAATTTTTTTTATAAGATTATCAAAATATATCCCTTATCTTAATTTTTTCCTTTTTTTTTAAATTTAGCTATCACTCTAACAGGGTCGGCATCCAAAATCCCAAATTTTAATCATACATGAAAGAATCGACAATTTTTTAAGGTCAAACATTTATATCCACACATGCAAGAGTCGACAATGTCTTAAGGACAAAAAATTGTATCCACACATGCAAGAGTCGACAATGTCTTAAGGACAAAAAATTGTATCCACACATGCAAGAGTCGACAATTTCCAATGTTTTAAGGACAAACATTTTTATCCCTGCTAGCAAGAATCGACAATGTTTTAAGGAAAAACAATTATCTATCTATGCAAGAGTTGACAATGTTTTATTTTTAATCCCATTTACTTAGTCATTTTTTTTTAAATTATTAAAATATATCCCTTATTTTTAAATATTTTTTTTTTAAAATTTAGCCATCACTCTGACAGGGTCGGCATCCAAAATCCATGTGAAATAAAGAAAAAAACAATCGTTTAGTCATTATAATTATAATTTATATGGTCAATTTAAATACATTTAATGGAATAATCTTTAATTTTGTGTTTTAAATTGCATTGTTTATGTTATATATGTTTATATGTGAGTGTGATGTGTTTATGTACTTATATCAATTTGGATTCTATAGCACGAATTATAATTTATTAATGTCTATTGTAATCATTTTTTATTTAAATTTTTGTGTGATTTTATTCGCTTTGATTATAATTAAAAATATATGTTGAAATCATTTTTGCTTTTCTTTTCTTAACTTTTCTATAACTGTATTTCACTTTAAACCAGTAGCTGAATTTTTTTTAAAAATATATCGCGGGTAAATTTCTGAAATTCTAAGGGATTTTAGAGCATTAAGACATAAGGCATTAAATCATTTCTCCTATCCAGCCTTAGAGTCGGTAATTGATAACAAAGTCAGTGTTTGGACTCGCTCCCTTCCTGGCCGTTAACACCCCGTTTCTACCCTAGTTGTGCGAAAAAATGGTGTTATAAATGAATAACGACTGCAAAATAGTTGGAGATCACAATGTTTAGAATTTTGGAAGAATGGATGGAAGAACAAAGAGAAGCGGGCGATAAACGCCAAAAAACCACCCACAGACCAACAAACAAAGCAACGCCAAAATAACCCCACATAAACAGGACCGAACAAATGCGCCAGACACACACACAAGCCGAAATCACACAAAACAAAATCCCCAACAGTTGCGAAAAAAGAAGAGTACCGACAGGAAAACCGGCAAAGCCGAGGGCAAATTTCATTTCGAAAGACCAAAGAGCTCAATCTTGCTTATTAAATTCAATATCGCTTCCATGATTAAGTAAAAGCAGCAGTCCTTTATTTAAAAAAATAAATTAAAAAAAAGATAAAAATTTGCTAAAAGTCTAAATTTTGTTATCTCCAGCCTGTTTGTAGTCGTTATTCATTTATACCATTATTTTTTCGCCCGACTAAGGTAGAGACGGGGCGTTAAGGGCCAGGTAGGGAGAGAGTCCAAACACTTACTTTGTTATCAATTACTCACCCTAAGGCTGGGTAGGTGAAATGTTTTAATGCCTTGTTTCTAAATGCTCTAAAAACCATTAGAATGGCAGAAAGTTAGCCGGGACATTATTTTAAAAAATTCAGCAACACATTTATTAAATTTAAAAAATTATTCCAATTAACACTAAAAAAAATATAATTCTTACTATAGAATCCAAATTGAAATAAGTAAGTACACACATCACACTCACACATAAACATACATAACATAAAAAAATTAAAATAAAACACTAAATTAAAGATATATGCCATACAAATTATTTAACTGGAACCTAATAAATGATCAGTATGACTGAAGGCTGTTTTTTGGTTGTTGTTTTTTTTAAATTTTACACTGACTTTGGATGCCCACCCAAAAAGAGTAATAGTTTTATTAGTGTGGCCTCCTGATATAGACTAGACAATCCTTGGTTGGTCCGTACTCTCTCCATTAATATTCATCCTTTTTTTAGTCCATATATTTTCAATATAACAATTCCCCCATGTGAATAATAGGTGTCGAAATGTAGATCCTTATTACTGTCTTGGGCTCATCTAAACTTTGAAGTCAGATATTTACTTGTTGGATATTATTATCTCTCGCCTCGTCACACGGACTAGTCCAATTAATAGCACCTGATACCCATACACTAAACACTAATTGGTTTGTCGCACACTATAAGTTGATAATCTTGACAATTCAACAATTTCTTAAACTATTGCTGTTGTATGTTAATAATAAAAATAATATTAAAGTTCATTTAACACGCTGCATCCCTAATTAAGGCTCCAAACGCAATCAAACACAAAATGCAAATATACAAAATTTACATCCAAGCCAATGAACAGTACGAGCTAATTTACATCGAAGAATATTAGAAAGTTCCTTTGGAAAACAGGAGGTAGATGACATCACACCAGCAAGTGAGTGCGAAAAAGATATGTTTTCAACTCAGCCTTGAAAGACTGCAGTGTCTGGTTGTTTCTGAGAGCGACAGGAAGGCCGCTCCAGATTCTTGATCCAGCAAAATCGAAAGTGCGCCTTCCATATGTCTCAAGGTGGACTCACTGCATCCAGAGTTTGCCACTTTTGGATTAACGGAGTGATCTAATGGGTACATAAGGTGTCATGAGCCCTTTTGAGAAACGGCGGTAGCACAAAATTGCAGTTTTGTACTCTATTCGAGCACGGACTAGCAGCAAATGCAGCTCTCTCAGAAGTGTTTTAGCATTAGCGAGACACATTAGTCTGTTCTTTTTGAATTCTATCCAGAAGCGTAGCCGGAAAACCCACCATGAGAGCATTGCAGTAGTCCATGCGTGATAGCACGAATGCAGACATCAGCCTTTTTTATATAAGTTATTAAAAATTGTCAAGACGTTCCAGCATAACACTCAGCAAAACACAAGTTAAACCGTGTATATCTTGACAACGGCCATCAATCCACCACTACAACAACAAAACAAAAAAACTGACACGTCATTTGCGCATACCCAAATACGTCACAAATATCTCAGACATTAGATACAGCTAACATATAATTTCCACACTAAACATATTTTCCATACCAAACATAACAACAGTGATTCTCATACACTTAACAATAGGTTATCTAACGTTTTTCTTTGGGTCCAAGTATCACTTGCGTAAGTTACAAATGGTCTGATTACAATTCTATAAATATTTTTCTGGGTTTTTCTTGTAATGTTTTTAATTTTGAGTCATTTCTGACAATTGCAGTATGACATGTTTCCGGCTGTTAATCTTTCTTTTATCTCTGTCTTTATTAATTCCTTTCTTTTTAATTTAATAAAGTTCCTTGGTATTAGAATTGATTTACTTTTTCAAAAGTCTGGTTTATAATTTTAAAGTTTACTTATCTGTTTTCATCGGCTTCATGATAGTGAGGATAATGTGTCTAATACAAATTTGAGCAGCTGTTTCTTTTTGTTTTTTCCCAGTTGCATAAAATTAATTCGCATCCAACATAAATAGACCAAAGTATGAGGAGTAATCGAAATCCACAGTTTGAGAATCAGAGAAGCAAACTTGAATGACATCCCCTTCATTTAAATAGAAAATCCCACCTGAAAAATTAACAAATATGGGATGAATTAATCATTTATTTAATTTAAACCATATATATATATGTATGTATATATATATATATTCACATATATACTTTTAATCCCTGAAATCCCCCACAACGCAAATGAATAACTCTAATGTTATCTCACAAGAATATTCATTAATCTAGGAAATATATTAATTTAATTCGTTCAATTATTTTCAAAATGCTACAATTTTTTGTTTGTTACATAGTGTAGGTCAGTTTTCTTCTTGTCGAATATCCTGTTGTTTTTGAGGTCCATATCCTAAAGGTTAAAAAAGAACTGTTTGATCATGACGCATCTCGTGTCTTATAAGTCCATCGGAGTCCTGGCAATGGTCAATAGAGACCGACCGAAAGTGATTTTTCTGATTTCTCCCGAAACCGAAACCAAAATCAGACCGAGAGTTAAAAATGACTTTCGGCTGAAACCGAAGCTTAAAACCAAAAGTTTAACGAGACTTTCAGCCAAAACAGAAGCCGAAATTCGGTCCGTCTCTATTAGTCAATGTGCTTCATCGTTAGTGGTGCGAATAGCTGGTCTTCTCGTTTGGCGTACACTCTTCATTGAAACCTCAGTGTTGCTTCATTACTGCATCGGTCTCATCAACTGACTTACATTAACACAACGTGTCCAATTAAATAGTTATACTATGCCGAAAACTTTAATTTTTATTTTATTTTGATCAATGAGAACAGCAATTTGACAAAAAAATGTAAGTAGCTGATGAAATTAAAATAAACATATTACTGGAAAGCATAACAAACATATAGTTGAGACCAGTGGTCGGCTAACAGGTGTGCATTACTCCAAGTAGGGTGAAAATAGAAATCTGGGGGTCATGAGGTGTCAATAGACAAAATAAAATAATATTTAAAGAGAGGTTTTTTTTATCTTTATTTTTTAACGAAATTATTGTCTCTTCTTGCATCTATGAATCTCGCCAGTGTAATTTAGAAACGCAACTGGCATGTTGTGGTTAAAACTAATGTTCCCTTTAAGCTGCGTGGCCGCGCAGCCATCACAAAGACGCTGCGCAGCAGTTTTGAGTATCAGCGCAGCAAATTTCCATGTAAATGTTAGTGGGCTTTAAAATTTTGCACACAAAAAAAATTGATGCTGTAAAACTTTGCACACAACTGTACGATTTTGCACATGAAGCAGCAAACCTTAGAGGGAACATTGGTTACAAGTATACAAGTAGCTGGATAGCCAGCATAGACTCAACTCTCGCGTTGTATACGCCATGTTTCCTATTGTATATTATACTCAGTGGCGTCACTAAAGTTGGTGTCATTCAAGGAGGTTAACTTATGACGTCCCCCCATTCAGAATTCTCGAATGGACCTGGACCGAGTAGGCCTGCCCTGTAGTCACACTGCTCTTATGGCAACTTGCTGGTGTTTCACCCTGCTCTTATGGCAATTTGCTAATGGTGTCTCCCTGCTCTTATGGAAACATGCTATGGTGTCTCCCTCCTCTTATAGCAACATGTTATGGTGTCTCCCTGCTCTCATGGGAATATGCTTTCTGTCACACTGCTTTTTTCGCAACTTGTTTTGGTGTCTCCCTGCTCTTATGGCAACATGCTGGTGTTTCACCATGCTCTTATGGCAACATGATATGGTATCTCCCTTCTCATATGGTAACATGCTTTTGTGTCACACTGCTCTTATGGCAACATGCTATTTTGTCACCATGCTTTTATGCCAACATGTTATGGTGGTTCATATCCCTTAATGTCCATTATGATTATGCGCATAAAATCAAAAGATTCAACTGTTTTTATAATAGCTGGCCAGGAGGCAATAAAAAAAGTTGCTGCTTTAATTGAGTAACGCGGAGAGTTTTATTCCGATCAATATTGTTACAAATAATAGAAATCAATTAGTGCACCCTAGAGACAGTATTAAGACTTCTCTGATAAAAATAACACAATTTTGATGTCTTGGTTTCAAATTGAAACATCATTTCAACTGAATTTAAAAGTTAACATTTTTTTAATACATAATTTTGTTCCACAATGTGGATTTTTATTAATTATTTAATCGAATTTATTTGTTACGTCTTATATATATAATTTTATTCTCCTTATAAATGGATTGAATAAACCACAAAGTCTGTAATTTTTTTCTTTACAAATCGGTTGTAAAGCCTAGGTAAACAAAAAAATATTTTGGGATAACGCTTGCGAAGTTCGCCGACCCCTGGTTTAGAGAGTATAAAAGAAGTGTACAGAATTCCTGGAAACATCACATACCTGTAAATAAAGTATCACCACTGAGTCCATCATTATCGGAACAGGTGTACACCGACCGAAGAAGCATCCCCGTGTACATGGGGTTGTTCGGGCTTATGCGATGCACGTAATGGAAGTTTGTCTGCAGGAAGAGAAAATAGTCATTTAATCGTATTTATTATCTAGAATAACTGTATACCCCCACCCCCAAAACTCAAAATATAAATAAATAATTACTTTTAATTTCACACATATTTGTCCTGTCACGTGATCTTAAATTGTAATTAATGAAATTTTTAATTTTAAAATAACTTTTTTTTCCCTAGAATTTTGCTAATTAATTTTGGAATGTTCATTTTTGTAGTATTTAATAAATGAATTTGAAATCCCGTACAAAGCTTAACTGAAGTCGCAAAATGTACTTCCTACCTTTCGAGACAGCTCCATTGATTGACATGCATTGCTTGGCTTTGAGTGAATACTACTGTAGATGTAATAGAGTCCTGTTAGATGATAGTAACAAAAAATAAGAGGTTACATCTGATTTCATATTGTTTTCTGTGTCAACTTGTGTTTGGCGTCACAGAATGTGTAAATGATTAAGTAATTAAATGGTTAAATGCGTAAACGATTAAATTGTTACACGGTTGAATGGGTAAATGGTTCAATGGGTAAATGGTTAAAAGTTAAAATGGCTAAATAGGTTTGAAGATCAGTATCTCCGCACGAGAGAATGAAATTAGTAAATTATTTAATAGAAAAACATTTTTTTTAATTTATCAAAATAAGGTCGACCTTTTATCCAAGATAATTCTTTTCCGCTATGCGTAGAAAAAACAATTTTCAGACTAGACCTTTTAAATATTGTATTTACAATAATAAAAAAACTTCAACTCTGAACTCCTTTCATATCTTTGCATCTTACTTGTTCAACCTAGTTTTCTGCATAACTATCTTATGATATAATTCCCGAGTGGATTTTGTACGCCGCGCTCAAATTGCGCAAAATGATGCGATCCCATTCGCTGCGATCCGCTGGCGTGCGCTTGATCCCGTACGCACAAAATGCACGCACAAAAATGGCACATGCTTACGTCATTGAGTTTCAAAAACGAGGTCTACCACATTGTCCCCTCCTCAAATTACTTGGCAGTGATGATAAACCCAGAGATGTTGCAATAATTGACAGATATTTTGTGCTGAAATTTCAGATAAGGGACACAAATCCTGGGCTTTATGACACTTTAAAAAATAGTATCATGGTACATGGTCCATTTGGGCAAAAGAACCTTCCGATTCCGTGCATCTGGAATTATTATTATTATGGAACATGCACTATGTTCCATCTATTATGCGTTGACCACACCAGTTATTAAATACCTCGCCGTTTTTTTGTATTTAAATATACAACTCACACACACACACACACATACACACAACATCCTTTTAATTTTCCCAATAAAGTTAGTAGGAGATCTATACCAAACATGATCTCTACAAATAAATTAAACATTTCCATTTTTACCTGTGAATTTCAATACGATTCCGTTGTGACCGACATCTAAACCTCTTACGTGTTCATACGGATAGGAGACGAGAGTTGAATTAAATTTAGCGACTTCATGGTTGAGGTATCTGGACCTCGGGCCTGGATGAAATTAATCAAGATAAACACATTACGGACAAATCTATCTCGAAGTTTGTAATCATCATAATAATATTTTATCTACTCCAGTTCAGATATGGAAATGTTGCTTAACTCTGACCTCAGATTTATGGACAAGCGCTGCAAAAGACAGTTTAGAGGTACAGACATTATTTTACATGATGATGATGATGATTGATTTCATGTATAGCACTTGTCTCCGTGCTACTCCGGAATGCTCAAAGCAATCTGATATCCTAAAGTCTATTTAAGGAAAACTGTCTTTAAATGTCTCTTAAATTATTAATTTATCGTTTCCAAGGGACAAAAAAAAGGATTCATAATTTAGACGCAATTGCTTCAAAAGAGCGCGCTTCGAATGATTTCATTTTGTGTCCATCCACACTGGGAACTCCCAGTAGGAACGTATGTGAAGAGCTCATCGTGTTAAAGTATAAATGTTTGGAAATAAATCTTTTAGATAATCAGGCGAAGAGCCTTCCATGGAGCTCTACGACAGGGACAGAATTTTGTGGTTAATGCGTTACAGAACAGTAAGCCAATGGAGATCATTAAAAGTATATTATTATTATCATTATTATTTTAAAGGGAATTCTTACATCAAAGAGTAGTGAAGAATTTTTAGAACTAACTAAAGGTTTGTAAAAGAATCTATGACTTTGAAATGTTTTGAAACTAATTAATATGTATCAAATAAATTTATGTCATGAAGTATTGGTACATAATAGCATGATGAAACAATTAAATAGAAGTTATTAAAAGGAATGCCATATTTTAAAAATAAGAGGGTAGAAGGAGGTGAACATCCGCAGTTGAACTGAGTATAGTGTTAGATATTCCACCCAAATTGTGGTACAGTTTGCCTCAATTTTTGAGGGAATTGAAAATGATAATAAATCATTTCAGAAACATTTTAAAACATTTTTTTTAAAAAGATTATTGGACATCAGAGCTCTGTAGGAAAGCTAAAATAGCATTGACAAGAGCGCCATAAAAGTATTCAATCATCAATATCATCATAATAAGGGAAGCCACTAGTATAATCAGATACAGTTTTAAAGATGAATTGCAATATGTATTTTTAATAAGTTGGCTTAGCGTAGGAGTTTATTGTTTAATGTATGTCATGGGTCTAATGTCTGTCTCAACGCCCTCACAGCCGAATCAAAATGAAAGCGCGGAGAGGTTTTTCACAAACTACCTCAACAACAATATCGTTTGTGACGAGTTTTCACAAAGTGCCATAAATTTGCATACACTAATTACCGTATTGATGAAATTTACCTTCGTTTGCATTTTCTTCTGGTGCTTGCAAGAATTTGTGAACACTGACAGGTGAATGCACAAATGATTTATGTTGTGAACCCCTTGAACTTGTCGTAGCTATTTGATATATATATATGTCAAAAATAAAAGAATATTTAAAAAATATCAAAAAGTAAAAAGTATTTTAAAAACTTAATATATAAAAATATTTTTTTTTAAAATAAAAATAGAAATAATAACAGATATTTAAAAAAATATTTCAGTTGTTACACATGCATTACAATTTTAATGTTGTTCATTTTTGTATAAAAGAAATTTTTAGCAATAATTGTTTTGAATACGGGTAAAATTGTTTTTTTTTTTTGCAATTTTTAGAAATATTTATTTTTTACAAGTTAAGTAAATATTTAATTTATTATATTTGCATAAAAAATTGTATACAATCACAGTAGTTGATACATTTGAAAAGAAATTTAATTACATCGTTGCTTTTCTTGTTTTTGTAGCATCTGCAATAGAAATAATAGTTAAATTTAGGTTCTTATAATGTTTGCAAGAGTGACTTAAAAAACACAAATCAAGCTATAGTATTGGTATTTTTTAGACTTTTATATTTATGTTTTGGTCTTCCGTGAGTCAGTGCATATCGCTATTCGTGCCAAGTGTCGCACGCGTGCCGCACGTCGCGACACCCCGATTTACAGCTCCAATCGTTATTTGTCATTTTTGTAAAACTAAACCAAGTGACAATTTATTATTTATAAAACAGGTAATAGCAAAGAATAATTTTAAAACCTTAACACTCATTTTCTGTTTAATATATATTATATATCAGGCGTGCCAACTCAAAACAAATCCTAGAATTTACGAAAAAAAAATCTAAATGTCCTTAATTTTTAAGGACTAGATTATATTCCGACATATTTTTAGAATAAATTAAAGATTCTACAAAAAAACATATTTAAATTAATTATCGTAAGACTTTGTATCAAATTTTTATTTTTCTATGCCTGTAAGTGTGATTCTTTGTCACATGACCTTGACATTTGGACATCTCTGAAGCGTTAGTTTCTGTGTATGGCATTATTTTCAGTGTTAGATGTCCCCTTTATCATGATGATACGAGTTTAAAGCCGGCACAATGGAATCACAAATTAGGACATTTTCCGTGTTCTATAGTTCAATCGATTTTTATACATTGTCTCAAATTTGACTGACATGCCAAATTATTACGGACTATTATGGAAACGTTGGATGGGAGGATAACATCAAAGAGTGGGCAGGATTAACACTGGGCGATGCTGTGCGCAGTGCAGAAGACAGAGACGAATGGAGGAGGATAGTTCACACGTCATCTGTGGCGCCCCAACGGTCCAAGGACTAAGGGTCATGATGATGATGATGGAGTTCTGTGCACTTTTTCGGGAAAGATTTTTAGGTTCGTTTCTGTTCGTTTCGCGAAGAACAGTTGGCAACCATGATCTATACACACGTTACTATTTTTTTTTTTAAATGCGTTTCAAATCCTGCATCAAATCTCATAGTTATTTACCGCTACAGTGAGCTTTGAAATCTGATTGTCATTTGTCTGGCGTGTCATCCCACAAGCGCCATTTAACTGTTTAATATCATTTGATATCTCTGAATGTTTGTTAAATGTCGAAATAGCAGCAAACGCATTGTTTACCTGTAGATTATAAGATATTTATTTTTTTACATGAAAATTAAACAACCTCTAAAAACATAGATATAAAGCCTTTATAAAATGTAATATCAAGGAATGGGTAGGGTTGAGGCTGAAAATTTAAAAAAACCATGCATACAAGTAACGCACCTTATAACAATCCCAATTAGTGCTCCCTCCTCACGGATCGCAACTGCACATTTTTTTCACGCCCCTTAACTATATTAATATTTTAATGACCCACCGGGTCAGATTTGCAGATTTAATCCACCAACTATTTCAGAAAAAACAAAAGAAAATATTACACACCGACCGCAACTGCAATTTTTTTTTTAAAGAATCTCATTTAGCGCAATTATCGGGAATTTTATTTCGTGAGATCAGTGTCATCATATTTCATCGATCTCTCCCGTGAAAAAACGGGAAAAACTGATTTTTGAGGGTTAGGGGGTGTCGCTGAAAATTTCATAGTATGTGTTGTCATCGGCAACGAGTCTATGTGCCAAGTTTCAACGCGATGGGTTGACGGGAAGTTGATAAATTAGCCATCCGATGTGTTCGGAACAATAAGTAAAAGTGTCTGGACAAGGACGTGCATGAGCACCTTAACCGAAATAAAAGCTTACAAGGCAGCTGTGCGCCAAACACTACTAATGCACGCATGTGAAAATTGGACAGACAATCAATGCAATTGTAGAAAACTAAACCAGTTTCACACGATGAGATTCCCAAAAAACTCCTCAACATCCATGGCACGTGATATCCGCTCAGGCCATTTCCATTCTGACAATACAAACAGGAAACATTACAATGATATCAGACTACAGAAAGGATACATTAATATTTTATTTAAATTTTAAATAATGTGGTTCATTTCATTTAATCGAATGTTTTCAACTAAAGCGCCCTTTCACAAATTTTTCATGGAACCATCACTACAAGACATCTCCAAAATTTAATGCCTTATCTTAGTAAAGCATATATTTAAAATTTATATATTATACATACGAAAATTGCTATTCTACGCTTATAGACCAGTGGTTCCCAACCGTTTTGACTCACGGTGTCCTTTATTTTTTTAAACAAATTTCTTTTGGGTAGGGAGGGGGGGGGCTTAGATATGTCTGACAAGTTGAAGGTGTTATTCACTTCCCTAGAGGGGCCCGCGGCCGGAAAGGTTGGGAACCACTGCTGTAGATGGACAGTTACCTTCATTTTTTTAACATTAGCCATAGTCGTCAGAGCGGCTATTGCAATCAGCAAAGCTGTTGCCGGTAACAGCAATATAAAACAGCCTGTGAAGATATATTTTTTCTTATTAGATGTATTATGCTAATTAATAGCTCTTTGATAGAGAGCTTATTGATATACTGAAAAAATGATAATGTGAATTGTTTGCTACACTTATAATTCATTTTAGTTACGTTATTTCATTTTTGGCTTTTGTGTTACACACATTCTTAAAACTTTCTAAATTAAATAAGATTAGAAACGATAAGATAAGATAAGGTACCTTTATTGATCCAAAGAAATTGACATTTGTAGGGTTATTTTATTACCATATTTTTACCATTGTACATATTTGTTCAGTCTTGAAAATCCTTGTTGTAATTTTTTTGTTACTTAAAATTAGTCTGTTACAAAACTTTTACCCTATTGTTTTTCGGTAACAGTCAATGTTGAGTTCTTGAGTGTACCTTCTAATTTTGAGCAGAGTCTTGACTTTTCATTTTGAACGGAGTTCTTTTTTTTCTAAGACCATGTTCAGATCTAATGTCTTTTGCCGATTTGTCTTTAGATGCTTGCTTTGATCTTGCCATTTGTTTAAAAAATGGCGTATCCATATTACACAATATGGCGGTTATGAATATGTCTTGGTTTATGCAAACGATGTCAAAAATAAAGCCCCATGAAACTGCTGAAAACACAAGAGTATCAGACACAATCAGATTAAAATATTCAAATACTTACCAAAGTTCTTTTTTAAAGACATTGAAAGGCATTTAGCCATCTCAAATAATTAATAAAGAGCTACAAAGACGATGATCTGTGGGGACTCTAGTTGCATCGCTGAAGCTGCCTTGTCGCATCTGCGGTATATTATGAAGCTCTGTGCACCATGACGGCGCTAAGCTGGCCGGTCTAGGGAAAAGCTAGAGGCTCAATTATTTTTTGTAACAAAATAATAATATATAGAATTTAACGTGAAGACAGCTCCGAGATAAACAAATTTGCAGCTTAATCCTTTAATTAGGCACCTGGATTTTAAAAAAAAAGTAGGTAGATTTATATTGAAATTTCTAGTACCAGTTGATTGGGGGCGGGGGGGGTTGGGAGGGGCGTCCATATAGTATGTTAGCGCATCGTACCCAGAATTTCTTCCTACCAAGTTGGCCGATGCGTCCGAAAAAACGTTCACTGGTGTTTCCACAAACACGTTTATGAGGTTAAGGGCAGACGCTTTCAGAACCGATGAACGGCTGCGTTTCGTCCCTTTTGTGTCATTCAGAGACAAAAGTTTATTGGGACCGGGAATTTCCGCAGATTGAGGATTGATGTGGATAGGGATCAAGGGTCAATGTTTCTATTTTCTTGGGGGAGTTTGACTGTGCTTTCATGCTGAACAACTTGATATATAAAAGAAGATGTTTTTCAGTTTAATCCCCGCCCTCCAGTTATTCTGAATTTGGAAGTTGAGGTTCCTTTTCATTATATCTTCGTCACCGTTACTTGGTAGTTAAAATCATCTCGTTCTATCCTATATATAGCGGCTCTAAGCTGGCTAACATTTCCAGAGTAGCTGTGGATGTGGTCTTGAATGCACCACAGATGAATCTGAGAGCCTGATTAAGGATTGCGCCTAATTTTTCCAATGCGGTCTTGCTGGTGAAGGTTTCGACGGCCATGTTGCAGTCCATAACCGATCTGCGTCGGTGGAGGGGGTTTGAAAGCCCCTGGCTTAGAAAATTATTAGTTGTACCAACTATATACAGGTAAATCTAAACTCTATTGGCTTTACTCACTCCAGAAAAGAGATGCAGAAACAAATCTCGCCTGCGTCTTGAGAGTCCGACGTATGCGTGAGATCCTGTAAGCGGAACTAGACGCCCAGTTTCGTCCAGCTACTAGTACGCCAGCAGCCACATAGAGGCCGGGATCTCTTGTTTCCGACTGGAATGGAAGTAGTATAGGATGTCGGAATGGGGACGGATTTCGTAGCAGGGTTTTCGTAGGAGGTTAAGGAGGAATTAATTAAGGGTGATAATCATATAATTACTTTTTTATTTTTGGTTTTTAAATTATTTCCCTTCTTGTTGGACATGTGGTTTTTAATTAATTTGTTTTCAATTTTATATTGATTTATTTATTTATTTATTAAATTGATTTTAATTAAAAACAACATTAAAAACATAGATCATTTTAATTTAATAATTTCCTTTTTTTTTATTAATAGTATTGTTGTATGACAGTTTTAATTGTATATTTTAATTCATTTCTCAATATTTTCCAATGAGTGGTTCTCAATTTTCTATTGAGTAGTTGTCAATTTTATAATTAGTATTCTCGTTATGTAGTTTGATTTAAACTATTTTCGTGTAGCTGTACAATGATTTCTCATTTTTCTATCTAATTTTTAATTTTATCGAGTGGTAATCAAATATTTCTCGTTTTGAGCGATTCTCATACTTGTGTTAAGGGCATAGGGGAGTGTATTTTTAAGAATACCGGTTTTGAATCAAGATAATAGTATTTAATTTTATTGAGTGGTACGCATTGTGAAAGTTAGGGGGTAAACATTGTGTAGGTTAGGGGTTATAGAACCGGTTTGTCGTACGATGGGTGTTGTTAAAACACCTTGCCATGGTCGCTATCTTGGGTTAGTGGTTGCACGCCATAGAGAGTGATTACCAGAGTATCTCTATTTTGGTTTAGTGGTTATTACTCATAGGGCGCGCTGTAGTATAATGGATTGTTTAAATTTGATTGAACGGGTCTCGAGCTTGGATTTGGGGTCAGTAGGAATGACATGTGTTTTTAAACTTCTTCTTCTTTTATATTTTGAGAGTATATTGTGTTTTCAGCTGGGATTAGGCAAACACTGTGAATCGGCTATTACACCACCCAAAGTGTTAGGACTCACACATGTTTAGAAACAAGTGTTATGTAGGTCGTGTTACGTCACGTTTCCCTCGTGCTGACAATATAGCAGACACCGCGTTCTTAGTGGCTGTGGCCTGTTACTTTTATCTTAGCGTGTTTTTTCATTGTGTATGAGGTATAAGGATGTTTTTCTTCATATGGAATACTTTCGTTTTGTAACAGAGTAAGGTTATTTAATTTTAATGAGGAGTACTCAAATCAAATTGTTGGAGAGCAATAATTAAATCTAAACATTCTTTTTCTACTGTGAAATAGTTTTTCTGATGGGAATTAAATTTCTTTGAGAAATAAGAGACAGGATGATCTACATTGTGGTCATCTTCTTGAAAAAGAACTGCACCAATACCAACGTCACTGGCATCTACTGCTAATTGAAACTGTTTGTTAAAGTCTGGTGCAATGAGAACAGGAGCATTAACTAGTATATTTTTAATGTTTTCGAATGCTTCCTGACAATCATTTGAGCAATGAAATTTTGCATTTTTCTTTAACATATTACTTATAGGAGAAGCAATAACTAAGAAATTTTTGCAAAATTTCTATAGTAACCTGCCATTCCCAAAAATCTCATCAACTGTTTTCCAGTAGTGGATGGTGGAAGTGATACAATAGCATTTATCTTAGCTTGAACAGGCTGTACATGACCTTGACCCACTATGTGAACTAAATATTCCACAGTTGCATGACAAAATTCACATTTATTCAAATTTACAGTTACATTTGCCTGCAAAAATTTCTAAAACAGAGATATTAATTGGTTTACATGATTTGAAAAATCTTGACTGTAAATAATTACATCATTGATTTGGGGGGCTGCAATTTTCCTGGTCAGCAATAATGGTATTTACTAAGCGTTGGAATGTAGCCGGAGCATTTTTCAATCCAAACGGCGTGACTTTATATTGGTATAAACCATCTGGAGTACAGAAAGCAGAGATTTCTTTTGCTCTGTCAGATAAAGGAACCTGCCAATAACCTGATAGTAGGTCTATCTTGTTTATATACTTGGCATCACCTATGCAATCTATAAGATCGTCTATCCTTGGAATCGGAACGGAATCAGACTTTGTAACTGGATTCATTTTCCTGAAGTCAGTACAAAACCTGTAACTTTTGTCAGGCTTTGGGACTAAAATACATGGTGAACTCCAGTTACTAGAGCTTGGTTCAATGATATCATTTTCAAGTATGTATTTTATTTCAGACCGGATTATTTCATGTTTTTTTCCGGATTGACCCTATAGGGGTGTTGCTTGACCGGAACTGCATTGCCAATATTAACATCATGTACAGCAATGTTGGTTTTATTAGGCACATCAGGGAAGAGTGAAAGAAATCTGCAATAACAGACTTAACAACATCCTTCTCTGACAATTACAAATATCCTAGTTTCTTATCCAAGTTGGTCAGTATTTCTGAATTTGTAAGTTTGTAATTACCAACTTTTTCTGGGACACTTTAAATGGTTTCAGTAAAATTTTCTTTAAGTACTGAAGTTACAGTTGAGATTGTGTTAACATTAGGTTCTGAGGATGGACAATAATCATCACATTTTCTATCAACATATTTTTTTAACATGTTAATGTAACATAACTGTTTCTTTCTTTTACGATCTGGTGTTAACACAATGTAATTTAAATAATTAATTTTGGACTTGGCTACATAAGGATCAAAATATCTAGATGTAGTGCCTGCCATATTATCAGCAAAGCACTAGCACTTTGTCAGCAAACTGTCTGAATTTTGTCTTTTTGTCGTATCAGACTTTCATTTCAGATTGTGCATCTTTTAAATGTGATTTAGCCAAATTTACGGAATTAAAATGTTTAGCTTAAATTTTTGGACATAGTCAAGAAGTCCTTCCGTGGGTGTCGATGACATCCACGTATCTTTAAAATTTTATGGGGACCGCGAACCGTGTATCCTAACACCAGTTCGAAGGGGCTGAATCCCAGTGATTCTTGAACTGCTTCTCTTTCGGCGAACAGTAGCATGTTGATTCCTTCATCCCAGTCTTTCTCTTGTTCTAGGCAGTACGTTCTCATCATGTTTTTCAACGTCTGATGGAATCGCTAAAGTGGTCCCTGTTACTCAGGATGATATACATTCGACAAGCAGTGTTCTATGCCCAATTG